TGTCAAATCTTTATCTTAATTTTCTTGAAAGTAGAATGATGATGATAGAGCATAACTTGGAAAGTTTCAGAATGTTTAAAATTGAATTTTGAGAATCAACTCAAAATAATTGATTATTTATTAACAATAATCGATTATCCCAGAATGTGCTCTCTAGAATAATCAATTATCCTATGAAATAATCAATTATTTTGTTTTTGAGTGATTCCAGAATTACCAAGAACAAAATAATCGATTATCCTTAAAAATAATCTATTATTTAAGCCTAAAAACTTTATAAAATTGGTTTTCTCATCCAAAAACACAAGGAAGTAATTTTGAGTGAAACTTTGTAAACTATTTGATTTGTGCATGTGATCTTCTTGGAATGATTTCTTTGTGAATCCAAGAAATAAACATCTTTGTGAAATGTTTTGAAAGATTATCATCATCATCCACATTCTTGATAAGGGACAAAGACTTGACAGAGAATTCATCTATTTGAGTTTGGAGTTACAGGTGAATTCGTTCTATAATCTTTTTGTGTTTTGTGGTAAGATGGAGGGCCATCCAAGGAGGATACATGCTTGAAGGCCATTGGACCTTTAACTAGGTCCATGGTTAGGAGGCTGGAGGACCCTTCTACAGAGGAGGTGTTGCTTGGACCTTTGTTCTTCATGAACATTGAGTATGATTCCTCTTATTAGTCTCTTATAGACTCCATTGTATGATACTTGTACATAGTAGTTGCTTGTATAGGCATATTTTTCCTTTGTATTTGTGAGGCACTTTCTGTTAGAAAAGAATGGCTCAATCCAAGAGGGGGGTGAATTGGATTCTATGACACTTTAAAAATTTTCAGAGTTTTTAGGATCTTTATTTCAATTCAAACTTTTCTAACTATGAATTTTCAAAGAAGTTCCTTAAAGACTTGTTAATGAAGAATGAATCCTATATGCTTTCTTGATTAACCATTAATGAGATTCAAAGTTAAGAAGAATTAATATGTAATACTTTGATTCAGTTTAAACCAATGTTGCATGTACAACATGTTAATCAAGAATAATATCTTCAACATACAACCAAGAATAATATCCACATGTTACCTACATCCAGTCCTCGATCATAACCTGATCAAGATTTGTTCCACTATCTTAACGAAGAAGTTTTACAAGCATACCACATATGTATACACTCTTACATTCAAGATAATCACTTTCTTAACCTCAAGAAAGCACCCCTTGTAGAAACCCACTACAAGAATTCCTTACCACTTGAGAAACCCACTCAAGATTTACAATTATTCACAAAGAATTAAGGAACGAATTCACCTAGAATTCAGAAGAAAATCTTAATCTTTCTCTTTTCAAGAATGTGATGATGATGATGATCTTTTCTCAAAGCATTTCAAAAATGTTTTTCTTCTTGGATTCACAAAGAAAACTCTCCAAGAAAGTCACAAAGACTTCACAATTACGTTTTTCTCTTTTCGATTCTCTGTTCTATCTTGTTCTGAAGTTTCAAAATGTGCAAACTATTTATAAATTTTCAGAACTAGATAATCGATTATTTTAAAGAATAATCGTTTATTTTGTTCTTCATGATTTCTGGAAATCAACCAAGAACAATTTAATCGATTATTTTGCAGGATAATCGATTATTCCAGAGAGTGATTCCTGGTATAATCGATTATTGCAGCAAGGTATCCTTTTTACCTGTTGCTGGAATAATCGATTATATTTAATGATAATCGATTATTTTGAGTTAGTTTTCAAAACTTTGTTTTATGTCTCAAAATAACTTCTTAAGCTTCAAACTCAGCATCATACTCACTCTTAATTAGATTGGATAAAGATTAGCTTATGCACAAAGCATACACATGATAAATAAGCTCAACAACACAATACAATTTTTAAACTACTATTACAACATGATAGTCATATTTTTCCTCTTGACTTTGTTTTTGACTTCTGACTTGTTGATGCTTGGTCAGCTTTGTTCCTCACTTTGTTATCATCAAAACCTTCAATCTCCAGAGGTGAGTTGATTCACCAAAATGAATGTCAACAATCTCCCCCTTTTTGATGATTGTCGCCACCCGCCGAAATGGACATTGGCATTCGCGACGATGGTTGGACTCTTTTTTAGTTTTGAAAAATGATGGATTGTTAGAACGACTTATTCTCAAACTGAGACCTCATCGAACTAACAATTTTGTTAAATGATTCTCACCAATCCGTGTTAATCCCAAACGGGACCCTCCATGGATTAGTGGTTTTCGCAAAAAGGGGTTCTTGGAGTCGCCACCAATGTTTTACTCAAAACATTGGAAAAAGACATAAGGCAATTGATTTTCGCAAATCAACTTTGGCCATTACAACCAGAGTTGGGTAAGGGAGTCGATTACGTGTGGGGAAGGTGTTAGCACCCCACAACGCCCCTTTCGGGTTCCCTATGACGGATTATTTCATAAATAATAGCGTAAAATTACTAAACTACCCCTATTTATTAGAACGATTATAAGTAAACTATCTACATGATGAAAGCTTTAAACGTGCAATGCAACAATCAAAAAGCGATAAATGAAAGCGGTAAAAGAAAGGATTTGGAAAGAAACCTTCGAAGCGGGCTTTTATATATTCAAAAAGGAGTTAGGAGGCTTTTTGGCGCTCCTTCCCACTACACGTTCGCTCGCTCCTTTCCCTAAAAATAAATATTAACTATGGAAATCAAAGAGATTTCCCTTCGACTTGTTCGAGTCTCAAGCTAAAGGCTCGTGAACTCAAGAACTTAGTCGGATCAGCTCTCGGAGAGATTTCTAGGGCAGAGAATAGCTCAAAAACCCAAGAATACTCAGCCAGAGGGTGGAGAAATGCTCCAAATGTGTGGAAGGACGAGCCAATGACGTCCTATTTATAGGATTGAGGCGCAGTACGGCCTAAGGAGTCAATACGGCCCGTACTGAGTTTTTGAACTACAGTACGGCCGTACTGAATTCAGTACGGCCGTACTGAAGTTCAAAAACTTCAGTACGGCCGTATTGATTTCATTATGGCCGTATTGTAGTTCAAATGGCTCAGTACGGCCGTACTTAACCTCTAGGGGGGCGTATTGAGCTCCAATCCTCACACACCCTTATTCTAAGCTACTCTAAGACTTCTAGACCTACAAAGAATCATCCTAGGGTCTTCCAGGAGTCCTTCCGGCTGACTTTCCTTCGGTCTTCGAGAGTCTTTGAGTCTTATTTCCGACCCGGACAATTTTAGGGGTCTACATTGATATTTCTTTTTCGTTTTGAAGTCTTTTATAGAATACATGGAATACCTTGAAGGACTCATCCTTGTGGGTTATGAACAAGACCCATGTCCATCTAGTGTAGTCATCAACAATGACTAGTCCATATCTTTTACCACTAATAGATACACAACCCAAGTGGGACCGAATAGATCTATATGGAGCAGTTCAAGAGGTCTTAAGGTGGAAACATGATTTTTACTTTTGAATGAACTTTTAACTTGTTTCCTCTTCTGACATGCTTCACATAAGCTATTCGTATGGTACACAAGACTCGGTAGACCTCTTACGGGGTTATGCTTTTTCAGCTTTGAGATTAATCTCAAGCTTGCATGACCAAGCTTCTTGTGCCACAACCACTGGTTTTCATAGGATACTAGACAATCAACATTTTGATTTTCTAGTTCATTAAGCATTATTTTGTACAAGTTATTGCATCTGTTACCCATAAACAATATAGATGAATCAGTTGGACCAACGGTACATTTATTTTTGTTGAAGGATACTTTGTAACCATTGTCACATAATTGACTTATGCTTAGCAAGTTAAGTGTTAATCCTTTAACATATAAGATGTTATCAATGGAGATAGAGGAATTTATACCTATTTTACCTATCCCCATGATTTTTCCTTTCTGTCCTCCGCCGAATGTGACTTGGCCACCTTTCTTGGACCTGAGGTCTAGGAACATAGACCTTTCGCCCGTCATGTGTCGCGAGCAGCCACTGTCCAGGTACCATGACTGGACACTTCTTTTTCTTATTGAACAGATCTGCAATAGGTATTATTTTAGTCTTTGGTACCCAAATGGATTTGGGTTCACAAATGTTAGCGTTTGAGGTTTTGGAATACCTCTTCTTTTGCATGTGATTGCACTTGGGCATAAAATGCCCATGCTTCCCATAAGTAGGATATGCAGATGTACTTGATTTGTTTTCTAATTCGAAATCAACATATCCTAATCCAGACTTATCATTTCTACTCCTAAAGTATTTTAAAAGATGTTCAAGATTCTTAGTTCCTAGGGTGAACTTTGATAAATCTGATTTTAATGATTCATTCTCTTTGTTTAGAAATTTTGCTTCTTCAAGATCTTTTTCTGATTCTTTCAATAATTTTACATTTTCATTTTTTAGTAAAAGATTTTCTTCAAGTAGTTCAGAAATTCTTTTCTTCTATTCTCTATATGCTGTAGAGATCTTTGTTGAATCAATTAGTGTTCATTATATGCGTGCTGAAGATCTTTGAAGTCAGATTCACTAACCTCTTCAACCTCGGATTTTGTCGATGAGTCTGTGTCTGCCATGAGACACATGTTCTCTTGTTCATCATCTTCAGATGATGTCGTGTCTAAATCTTCCAAGGTAGCCATCATGGCCTTCTTCTTCCTGTAGAGAGTTGTCTTCTTATTTTCTTTCTCCTTTTCTTTTTCTAATTCTGGACATTCCATTTTCTAATGTCCTGGTTTCTTGCATTCAAAGCACAGTGGTTGTGCCTTGTCTCTTAGGGTTTTGTTGATTTTTCTCCAACGTAACCCTCCCTTCTTCTTCATCATGGCATTGATCTTTCTTGACATGAAGGATATATCTCATCGTCTGAGTCACATGTATCTTCACCACAGCTTTTATTAGATGCTTCTTCTACTTTTAATGCTTTAGAAGCTGATGGTGTAGATTTTGTCTTTTGCACACTCAGTGCAATAGACTTGTTTTCTTCCAGCGTCGTCTTATTGTAGTTCTAGCTCATGAACTTTGAATAGTCCCATGAGTTCCTCAAGCAAGAGCTTTTCAAGATTTTTGGACGCTCTTAATGTCGTGACCTGTGGTCTCCACTTCCTGGGCAGACAGCGAAGTAATTTGTCAATATGATCAAAGTTATCATAAGTTCTACCTAGAAAAGAGAGTTCATTAACAATAGTTTGAAATCTTTCAAACATAGTTTGGATAAATTCATTCTCTTCCATCTTGAAGAGTTCATATTTACGGACCAACAAGCTTAACTTGTTGTGTTTTACCTAGCTCCAAGGATCCCTCATAGGTTAGAGCTAGGGTATCCCACATTTGTTTAGCACTCTTGAAGCTATGCACCTTGGTGTATTCTTCCTCAGTTAGGTCACAGATGAGTGCATTTCGAGCTTTAGAGTTCAACATGAATCTTTTTTTTTGTCCATTATTCCAGCGTGCCTTGGGTATCTCCCTGCCAACCTCGTCGAGCGGAATGTAGTCTCCCTGTGCTAAGACCTCCCACATGTCTATATGACATGCATCAAAGAATGCAATCATTCTTTATTTCCAATAGTCATAGTTGGTTTCTTTGAAGAGAGGTGGGCGGTTCACTGCCTATCCATCATTTTCCATTGATCGTTCCCTGTAGTGTTAGATGCTCAACCCTAGGGGTCAAGCTCTGATAGAAATTGAAGTTAGCAGAAAACACACAGAAGGGGTGTTGAATGTGTGTGAATGAAGGAGTTTTAAAAATGTTTCGCAAAGAGACTAGTTTTCGTCTAATGAGAATATTACTTTGAACACTTGACGCTGTGCATGGTTGGAGGTAGCCATCATGGCCTTCTTCTTCCTGTAGAGAGTTGTCTTCTTATTTTCTTTCTCCTTTTCTTTTTCTAATTCTGGACATTCCATTTTCTAATGTCCTGGTTTCTTGCATTCAAAGCACAGTGGTTGTGCCTTGTCTCTTAGGGTTTTGTTGATTTTTCTCCAACGTAACCCTCCCTTCTTCTTCATCATGGCATTGATCTTTCTTGACATGAAGGATATATCTCATCGTCTGAGTCACATGTATCTTCACCACAGCTTTTATTAGATGCTTCTTCTACTTTTAATGCTTTAGAAGCTGATGGTGTAGATTTTGTCTTTTGCACACTCAGTGCAATAGACTTGTTTTCTTCCAGCGTCGTCTTATTGTAGTTCTAGCTCATGAACTTTGAATAGTCCCATGAGTTCCTCAAGCAAGAGCTTTTCAAGATTTTTGGACGCTCTTAATGTCGTGACCTGTGGTCTCCACTTCCTGGGCAGACAGCGAAGTAATTTGTCAATATGATCAAAGTTATCATAAGTTCTACCTAGAAAAGAGAGTTCATTAACAATAGTTTGAAATCTTTCAAACATAGTTTGGATAAATTCATTCTCTTCCATCTTGAAGAGTTCATATTTACGGACCAACAAGCTTAACTTGTTGTGTTTTACCTAGCTCCAAGGATCCCTCATAGGTTAGAGCTAGGGTATCCCACATTTGTTTAGCACTCTTGAAGCTATGCACCTTGGTGTATTCTTCCTCAGTTAGGTCACAGATGAGTGCATTTCGAGCTTTAGAGTTCAACATGAATCTTTTTTTTTGTCCATTATTCCAGCGTGCCTTGGGTATCTCCCTGCCAACCTCGTCGAGCGGAATGTAGTCTCCCTGTGCTAAGCCCTCCCACATGTCTATATGACATGCATCAAAGAATGCAATCATTCTTTATCTCCAATAGTCATAGTTGGTTTCTTTTAGGAGAGTTTTGCTTTTCACTTGCGATCCATCATTTTGCATTTATCGTTCCCTGTAGTGTTAGATGCTCAACCCTAGGGGTCAAGCTCTGATAGAAATTGAAGTTAGCAGAAAACACACAGAAGGGGTGTTGAATGTGTGTGAATGAAGGAGTTTTAAAAATGTTTCGCAAAGAGACTAGTTTTCGTCTAATGAGAATATTACTTTGAACACTTGACGCTGTGCATGGTTGGCAAAAAAAAACTTTTCAATCTGATGGTTTATCGTCTGATTGAGGAAGAGATTTCTTCTTAGTAAAAATGTTTCTCTAAGTAATAAATTGAGCAAATGTATTTTTCGTCTAAGAGAGGTTACTGTGAAAAGGATTTAATTAGTGGATGAAGTTTTCAATGATATAGTAGTTAAATAAATTTTTTTTCTGAAAGCAAATAAAGAGTGCACAAGTTTTTTAAACTGGTTCACTCGACCTGAGGTATGTCCAGTCTCCTTCAACTGAAAGGTTCCACTAATCACAAAGGATTACAAGTATTCTTAACCACTTCTGGTTCGTCAACTTCACTCGTCGACGCTAGTATTCTTAACCACTCCTGGTTAGTCAACTTCTCGTCAATGCTAGAGTGTGTATATGACTCTCGTAGAGAGGATGGGGAAATTTCTACACTCACTAAGATAAACTATCTTAGTTTTTACAAAGATATACAAGTCTGAATAAGAAGGGATGTAAACTTGTTTTGAAGCTTTCTTTTGCTTATTGCTCGTTACTTCTCTTCTCAAGTCTTGATATTTATAGCCTTGTGATAAATCTTCCCGTTGTTTGAATTTGAATGTGTCTGTTGAGGCTGAGCTTCTCGTTGGTGCAGATAGCACTTCATTCATGGCTACACAGATCCTTTTCATTTAATGCGTTTGATCTTGCATTAAATGTTTGCTTGCTGAATCTGTGTTACATGAAGTCCTTTGCATAATTTGTTCCTTTTTGTTCTTGACTTCAATCATGACCTAGGTATGTCTGTCCTTTTTTCATCATTTTAGCTACGGAGGCGTTGCCTTTTTTGAAAAGTAGATGTACTTTCCCTGACACACACAACTTTGACTTGTGGATTTGTTCTGTTCTATTTTTCTTCTTTCATATCACATTCTTGATGACTTCGTGTACTCTTCTTGTGAATATGGACGATATGTGATATTCCTTGTTGTGAATAGTGGACTTCAGATGCATTTCAATATACTTCGTCTGCGTTTGGAAATTTAAGTCTTCGTCTAAGAGATAGACTTTGACTTTTCCTTTTGTCTAGTCAGCAATGCAGATGGAATGCTTTTAATTTCATCTAGGATGCTTCGTCTTAGATTATCCATCATCTGATATTGTGAACTTCGTCTAATTGACCATTAGGCTCCAACTTAGGTCCTGCACTTGACTTAGCCTTGTTTCGCACTTTCGTCTGATACTTCAAGATTTCGTCTACTGGTATGCTCTGACTTGTTTCAAGCTTAGTTTGTTTTGACCATGGTATATGTAATGACATATACTTCATTTTTCAGTCTTGTTCCTATATTTATCTGAAACACTGACATACATGTTAGAAATAACAATACGTATTATATTTGTCTTGTTCAAAATATTACTAGGAAATGCTTCATTTGACTTAACAATTGGAGTATGAGTATGTTTTATAAGTTGTTATTTTTTCTCTTATTTTATCGATGTAGAAATTTTTTGTATCCTAACAATTAACTCATATAGCTTTCCAGGTATCTCATTATTTTTAGAGCATGATCAGTATGGAGACAAGTAGGACATGTTAGTTAATTATGAATTGCGTCATCACGTTGATTTTCACCGATGGGATTTGTTGCCTCCTTTTGTTTGGGAAGCTTTCTTTTGTAATCTTTATATATGGATTACCAAGATACCATCTTATGGCTAGATTCTATTTTATTTCATGAGTTTTTGCTTATTCTTCCATATTTGTGTGTCTCTCTTTATTCTTACCTATTTAATAATTTTGGGTGTTGTTGGTGTAAAAAAAATATTTCTGGGTGTTTGATAGGCTTTAAAGTGCCAACACACCCTATAGTGATGTCATGCATGCCTAGAATTTGTTAAGTCAGACGAAGCTCATTTGCAATTCCCATCGAGGTATTCAATATGTCTTTTGGGCCTAGAAGGCCCATGTCCCTCATTAGCATGGGGTTTGCTCGTCTCACCCTCCACCATAAGCTTATTCAACAACTCTTTTATGGTTTCATTATTCTTTTCATTTTCTATTTCTTTTTTTCTAATCCCTCACTATACACCACAAATGACACCCAAATTTTTGTTTACCCTGACCGCATTTTCCCCCGTCTTCCTCTAGTGGATCAAAACAAGATGAAGGATCCTGCACTTCATCTCGGACCAATGCCCAAACCATCAAGGGTTGAGGTTTGTCACTATCCAGGGGTAAGTTTGGACAAGCCACAAGATCCTGCAAATGCACTTCAATGCACTAAAGACGACACTGAGAAGTATTATCAAAACTTCATGCATAGGTGCAGTTAGGAGGCTAGTTTGTTTGGTATTTCAGATGAAGAAAAGGCAAAGACACTCATGATGCGTGGATATCGCTGGATGTCTCCATGCAAGCTAATGCACTTCTTTGACACATTTATCGCCTTTCTTCAGAATAAAAGACACGAGCCATACCTGTACGCTCTCATCAATGAGTACTTCATCCATTCTACGCTATTCAATTTAGATCTCCTCCCTCTATAAAGAATGGAAGTATGGATGAATTGACATCCAAAAAAATCAACCCTCCTCCAAGAAGAATTGTGCTATGCCCTCCTGATCCCTATAGAGCACAAGAGCTGCCTAGTGATCCCTAGGTTACAGCACGTCCGGTCATTAACTCCTCGCCCTGGAGCAGCATCAGGTATAAGCAACACCAGAAACAGAAATCGGAATAGTCATATATATATAAGTAGCCGTAGGAATTGCCATCATGTGTCGGTCGCACATTCAACATAGCGTTCAGACTCATGTGCCTTCCAGAACAAGGGGTATTCGAGCCAGCTGCATACGATTAGCCAGCCTTGCAGCTACAAAAGGATTAGACATCCTCCCATGCTACAGTTCCCTACAATTCGAACCCGGTGCCACATTAGGTTAGGGAGCTGGGCTTTTTTCGCTCCTCTCACATTCATTCATTCGAGGGGCCGGAAAAATAACAGACGAAGATTTACTTAGATAGGGCTTTGATTGGTTTTTTTTTTCTTAGTGATTGGAAAGGAGGGCGTCTATCTAAGATTAGGGGGGAGATCCTCAGTAGTGGTGTCCCTTTTGAGGTTAGCGGAAATACACATAGAAGGGGGGTTGAATATGTGTGTGTGTGAACAAGGAAGTTTAAAACATTTTCGCAACAGTGATGTTCTCCGTCCAGTGTTCTTTTGAACATCGGACAGTTATGCAAATTTGCTTAATCAAGATTACTGCGTCTGAAGGGTTTATCTTCCACTAGGGAAAATGTTTCGTAAAGATAATCGTTGAAATTCTTACATTTTCCTTTTCAAGATAGTTTAGTTTAAGGATAAGTATTAGATGAAACTTTCAATGTGATAAGCTTGTTAAGCAAAGTCAACATATTTGTCTAAAGGTTGTTTTAAAGATGTATATAAACATTAGACAAAGTCTTTCACAAAGGTTTAATCAGTAAGGAAGATTTGCGTCTAAGTAAATAAGAGGATGCAATCATTTTATACTGGTTCG